AAATATATATATATATATATTTCCATTACGTTGTATAATTTGACATTAACACGTGTTAATTATTTAATTAATATATGAAGTATATGCAATAGCGCCACAGAAAATTTTCAGGGGTTCTCAAACCTTCGCAACCAGTCAAAGAATGTGATCATAATTCTTCTCGTCTGGGGCGTACTTCCAACAAAGATCAAAATTTGTATTTAATTTCACCTAATTCTTCCTCTTACAATAGGATAATTGGGATAATTAAATCCGAAAAAGATTCCGGTTAATTTTCTACTTTGATCTCGATGGCGTTTCGTGAATGTTTGGTAATTGTCTGATGTCACGATCCGTGTTGATCGAAATTAGTAACTTTACAATAATCAAAGGCATTTAATGCCTTTATACATTACATAAAAAAAAAAATTAGATTTTCCATGTATTAAATTTAGTAAATCAAAATAATAATCAATAACATAATCTTTAAATGTATTATTATAAACAGGTAATAATACACATCTAGATTTTTAACACTAGAAAATTCTATAATAAATTTAAGTTTTAATTTATAAGCAAAAGTTCCATATTAAAAAAAAATTTAAAATTATTTTTAACTTTACATTAAAATAAAATTTTTTAAATTTATAATTAAAAGATTTATAATAAATTGTTTCATTTTTTCATGTATTATTAGTATATTTATAAAAAATTAAACAAATATTTAAAATGCATTGTTTATTACATTATATAATAATTATATATACACAATCATCAATATATAATATAATAATGAAACATCTTATATTACTTTAAATTGAACTATAATATCTTTTACTTTACTTTATATATTAATATATATTACAAAATTTAAATATATTAATAAAAAATAATTTTAAAGATAATAATAATATTAGAAAATTAAGAAAAATAAAAAAAGTAAAATACTAAGAATATGTATTATATAGAGCAGGGTTGGAAAATTTGTATGTATTAGGTAAATTTTGATCTTGTACTTGTATTGTATTGTACTAATTTTATATTAATTATTATGTATACTAACTGAAACTATACTAAGCTGTACTAACTGTACTAATTTCCTAACCCTGATATAGAGTTTTTATACTTTG